CTCTGCCGATATACGCCCTTGCCACGCTCTTCAACCGTCAGAAGAGGCTGCAGTACCATACCGGCGATCTTCAGGTCCTATGGGCTCCTGTCCTGCTGATGCGCCTCGGCGGGCAGCTCGGCATCACCGCCTACAACATAGAAGACAACGAGCTATGGAAGCGGCACTTCCTTACGGCCTTATCTCAGGTGGCTCCATCTGCTTGCTAACTTAGTACAATAGCTATATATTTTCTCCATTCCAGATTACTTGAAGTTATAGCTTTGTTTAAAGTCAAAACCTTTTCAAGTTTGACCAAGTACATAGAGAAAGTGAGAAGCACCGCAAATATTTACAACATCAAAAATATATGTAGCATGCAAATATATTTTATGGCTAACCTAATTTGGTGTTGTAGATGTTAATATGTTTTTCTATGGACTTTGTCAAATTTAAGGAAGTTTGGATTAAAACAAGGGGTGTAGGCTGTAGCCATTATTTTCCCCTTAGAACAAAGCTAGAATTTCAAGTAATTTGGAAGGGATGGATTGCTACACATATCAATGCTTATTTGTTGCTTGCATATATAGACGCGTCTCCAATTTGATTGTATTTCTCCACTCCAATTTCACAATCTCAGGTGACAGTAGCCGTCTACGTGTTCTGCAAGTCATGGCCGTCATCAGCTGATAGGACATTATTGGCTTCAGCGTTTTCCCTTTTTGTCGCTGGGGTTCTCAAATGCTTCCATAAACCTTTGGCTCTCATGCATGCTAGCTTCGGCTGCCTTGATAGGTACTTTTCACCCGAGGATAGCACCAGTAGAATTGAGGGAGAAAAACAGCTAGAGACATATGTACAACAAGCAAGGGCCGCCATTCTCCTAAGGCAAAAAGATCCTACACTAACCGGCAAGACCAGTATACATGCCAATTTTGCCCTATACATTACTGTTAGACTATGCAGATTCTTATTCTTATCGGGTTCGTAGACTGAAGATAGTCTGTCCATATAACGATGAAGAACTTCACTCTGCACTAAAAGGCATCCTCTCCAATTTTTTTGATATTCTGTACACCAGAGAACCTAAATCCACAACAGGAGGCGAATTAGCCAACGACGTTTTCGGACGGAGGATCTTATACTACATGGTACTGCAAATTGTAGCCATTGTTACCTTCCACAAGAGCCATATAGAAGCACAAAGTCATACAGATGTCGGTGTTACATTTGTCTTGTTGTACGGGACTCTTCTTTTGGAGATCGTTTCCTTGTTTGGACTGCTAACTTCATTCATGAAGTGGTATGACATGGTTGCTGAACATAACCTTATAGGATTATTCATTCACAAGAGAAGGCAGAGCGAGTTGATGAACGACTCATCTAAAGACATTACATGGTTAGTTCGTCAGCATATCCAAGATGGGTGGGAGGAGTACATAACAGATGCTCAGAGTTACATGGAGTTCAATGATGTCAGAGGGCAATGGACACCTTGAGCGCAAGGGATGCCACAAAATGCTAGGATGGAGCTTAGAGAGGCCGTTGGATGAGAGTGTCCTTCTCTGGCATTTGGCCACGGATTTCTGCTTCTACTGTACGTGCACATCTCCAGACCATGCTGAGCGTACCATCCGATGCAGACAAATATCCAATTATATGGAGCATCTGTTATCTGAAAGTCCTGAGATGCTATTCCCAGGCAGTAGAAAGCACCTTTGCCGAGTCGCCTGTGCACAACTCAGTGACATCTTAAAGGGTCATATGATGGAAGATGAACTTGCTCAGAAAGTGGTTGATATCGTGGAGTCTCCACAGGTTTCACAAGGTTGTTTTGTTCGAGATGCTAGGGTGATTGCTAAAAGGTTGATGCGGCTCGTGGACGAGAACAAGATGTGGGAGGTGATACAAGGTGTGGATTGAGATGCTCTGTTTTTCTGCTGGCATATGCCGGGGGTACTTGCATGCCAAAAGCATTGCCACCGGCGGGGAGTACCTTACCAACATCTGGCTTTTGCTACACTGCACTGGGATGGAGACGTTCCAGCACAAGCTTCAGAGGACACAAAAGCTTCGATTGTCCAAGGAGAAGCCGCGGCGGCACCGTGGGAGCCGAGAAGATGCTGCCGCTCCATCTACTTCTCAAGGCACGAACCTTCCCACAAATGATGGAAATGTTGCCGGTCCACCAGCTTCCCTAAGTGAAGGCACCTCTCCTGATGAGCTCAGTGAGATTGTTGTGTCATTACGATAAGAGCAGGCACATCCTTATGTCTGTATCTTGTTTGCCTTTCCATATGGATTCAGGTTGTGAGTGTCATTGATGTCCTTTTCTTTCTTTAACAATGGCATTGTTGTCGTTTGTTGTCATTCTTAGTTTCTTACAGTTCTTCTCTATGGAATATGTATTGAGCACACCAGAGCTGGTTCAAAGTTTCAGTTCCAACAGTGAATTGCAAAAAACCACCACATTGACACATAGGTTCGTAGAAAACACTGATTTCTGAATTTGTGCCAGAAACCACTGATTTTTGGCCTAATCTTTTGCAGAGAACACTGATCGGTCTCTTTGGGCATTTTAACCATGATGATGACATGTGGGTCCCGCAAAAACTGACATGGCATAACTGTTGGTCCTTGGTATTTTTGCATAGGAACCCTTGGGAAAAAAATTGAAAACGCAATCAGCTCCTGCTTGCGCGTCGCCGCGTCCGCATCAGGCGGGCGTTGGCTAGGTCAGCGCGCGGCTGCTGCTGCTTGCGCGCCGTCGCATGGCTCCGCTGCTGCATCTTGCGCATGCGCGGGGCTGCTGCTGCTACTTGTTGTTGCTCCACCGCTGCTGCTTGCGTGTCATCATGCCGCAGCCGCTGCTCCCGTGTGCGCCGTGATGCCGCGCCGCTGATGCTTCCTCGGCGCCGTGCCACTGATGCTTGCTCCGCTGCTCCTGCTGCTTGCGCATCGCCCCGTCACTGCTGCTACTTCCAGGCTTCTGCGTCGTTGTTGCTTGCTCCACTGCAGCTGCTCGCGTGCCGCCGTGCCGCTGCTTGCTCTACTACTCGCGCGCCGCCGCGCCGTTTGCCTGTGCTGTGCTGCTGCTTGCTCTGGTGCAGGCCCTAGATCCCGATAACCATGAGGCCAAGGACTTGTTGCGGCGGCTGGACCTCACCGATGTCGAGGGTGCACCTTGTCTTCTCTCTGGATCGGGGTCGAGAGGGAGAATTGTTTTTGGGAGGAAGGTTTTTTTTGGAAAAAGACCAGTCAGCAAATGTGGAACCCACATGTCATCATTGTCATTAAAATAGTCTAAGTCATCAATCAGTGTTTTCTGCAAAAGATTAGGCCTAGAACCAGTGGTTTTTGGCAGAAATTCGTAAACCAGTGTTTTCTGCAAACCTATGCTCAATGTGGTGGTTTTTTGCAATTCACTCCAATTTCACAGGTCAAGAGAAAGTGTGTGTCGATTTTAAGTAAATGATTATTGGCATAGGCATTGGACAGTTCCTAAATAAATACGTACAGAGGAGCCCGTTTTCTGTTGTGCATTTAGAGCCCATGGAAAACATACCATGAAACTAGGCCAGTCTAATAGTCACACTCACATCACAGATTCGTGCATCACAATTAGCATTATTTCGCAAATCATGGTGGAGAATGGAAAGAACTGAAAACTTAAATCACGAGGCAAACAGCAACATGCTTGGTACATAACGCGTACCGTCGGGCCATCTCCGCAAAGCTCCGTCTGTACCGACGGTGAGTTAACATCGACGACCGGAATAAATGGATCTGACCGTGGGCCATGGGACTGTGATGGATAGCTATACACCAGGCCGCGCGCATCTCAGAGAATCTGTTTGGTCCGATTTCAGGATCATCTCGACCTAGTCCCAATTTGAATATCCGAGTCTAATATTTTTTTTCTGCTACACCTTTCCCTGTTCATAGAATCTTTTAGGCAATCTAATTGAGTTGAACATATGTAAAAATGATAATAATCTGATCTCTATTTCACAACAAACATGCACATATGTTTTAACTGCATACATTTCTTTGTGAAATAAAAAGTTTATTGTGATCAGAGCTAAATTAAATTAAATAAAACATTATCTCTAAAAAGCTTCAAAATAGTTTTCTTAAGTATACTGGTTTAAGCTTGATTCCAGTGGAGAGTCCTCAATGAAATGAAACAAAAAACTTGCAGGATGTGGTACAATGTTACAAAGCAAACCGCAGACATTAAATAAGTATACTGGAGAACAAATACATTGGTCCATAGTTCACAGGTGACAAGCACAAGCACTCACACAAATAAACAGAAGAGCAGAGCAGCAACTTGCTCATCTCAGGCAGAAGGTAGCCCAACGCCGCTGTTTAATTATTCCTCTTTCTCACGCACACACACGATCTGTATCATCTATCTGGCAAGGTAGATGATCCATGAAAACCAAACCAAGCTGAATTGAAACTCACAGCACCGGCACCGGCACCGCCACAATGGCAGCAGAGGTGACGCGATGCCCTTAACACACAAGCAAGCAAAGCAGGTAGGTGTAATGTCACTGGGTAGTGGGCACACACAGATCAATCAGGAATCAGGGCTCTCAAGAACACGACAACACACTGGAACAACATAGATGAAGAAAGCAGAGCGATCCTTCGCTCTTTGTCTGGGCAGCACTTGGAGGAACTACCTGCAAGACCGGAAGACGTCCAATCCAACCAAAGCATGTATACATGTCAGTTATGGAATAGGTATATCTGCATGTTTATACATACTAAGAGGATTTTGATGGCTAGACTGTTGGACAGAGAGGTAACTAAATCAAGGAAATTGTACAACGAGATCGACTGATGTGATTAACTCTAGATACATATATCAACTATTAATAAGAACCAATCATGTGTAGTGAGAATAAAAGTTTTGAGTATGTCGCAGAATGGACAGGATTGATGAATTTTTCTGGCAATCAGACTAATGGGATATGCGGAAAACTAAATGTAAAAGGATGGTCAGACTCAACTCACCTCAGCAGAGAGACTCTGGGCAGCTTCTTCTTGTAGTAGGCCGAGTGGATCGGCTCGTACAGGGAAGGGTGGTGCTTGGCCTCCAACCCATCCCACTCTAGGCCGTCCCACCAATCCTTCTCGCAGTCCACCTTCGGGGGCTTGGTGTTGTCACCAAGAGACGGCAAGCGCTTGAGGCTCCAGCAACCCCTGATCTTGACTGTTTCGAGCATGGGAGCATTCATGTTGAGCACGCAGATGTGCTGCAGCTTGGGTAATTCGTGGAGATGGATGTGCTTCAAGTTGGGGAATACTATTGCCTTCTCTTTTTGGCTCTCATGGTAGAAGTGCAACGGGAATATCTCCCTGAGATCACCACAGCGCACAGGATCTCAATGGTCGTCAGGTGACGGAGGACGTCCATTTGTAGAGGAACTTGTATGGGGACACATGTATGAGCCTTGGGAAGTAGTCTAGATGTAAGAACACTAGTTCACGAAAGGAGTCATAATTAGGATGACATATCACACTAGGCCAGTTCCAGATGTAGTGTGCCTTTAGGAGCTGGGATGCCCAGAAAGTATGCAGAAGCTTAAATAGGTACGCACTATGACTCTGACTGCCCCTGGGAGTGTGGAAGACCGTGTGTATCTTGGGGCACCTCTCGACTCGACACCATCTTAGCCTTGGCCATGTTTCATCTCTCTGAGGTGCATAGATACTCGTGATGGTGGAGCAATCGTACACATGCAACGATGTAACATAATGATATATAGGATCAGGAAAATGGGGAGATGATAAACCGCTATTACTCGCAATTTGAGCATCCTCCATGAGTATGTCTATCTTGGGGCAATCCCACGTCATCATCACTGCAGATGGGGTTGGGCCATTACCACAATCATCGTAAGTATTAGCCAGGCCGGCCTTTGTTAAACTCTGGTGGAAGCATTAAACCCTTTGCTCGGGCCGCGTATGTATATATATGCACTATGCCGTGGCTTACAAGAACCGATCGACAAAGATCGATCGTGATTGTTACAGGAGGTTGGAAGAGATAAAACAGAAGAAGAGATAGAAAGAGATACAAGTTAAACAACTTTCCTATCTCTATACAATATCTTCTAACACTCTCCCTCAATCTAAACCTCAGGAAACTTGCGCAAGGTTAAGATTGTACTTGAACTCATCCAACCTCCTCATAGTAAGAGGTTTTGTGAAGCCATCAGCTAGTTGATCTCCTGTAGGTATAAACCGAATATCAAGTAGCTTTTGAGCTACTCTTTCTCTGACAAAGTGGAAATCAACTTTAATATGTTTGGTGCGTGCATGGAAAACAGGATTAGCTGAAAGATAGGTTGCTCCAATATTATCACACCATAATCTAGCAGCTTGTGGAGCCTTGATTCCAAGTTCATAGAGCAATGTCTGTATCCACATTACTTCTGTTGTAGCATTTGCCAAAGCTTTATACTCAGCCTCTGTACTTGACCTTGAGACAGTAGTCTGTTTTCTTGCACTCCATGATATGAGATTAGTTTCCAGAAACACAGCAAAACCACCTGTAGACCTTCTATCATCAGCACACCCTGCCCAGTCTGCATCAGAATAAGCAGTGACAAGTAGAGATGGAGACTTGGTAATCTGAAGTCCAAGTCCTTCAGTAAACTTAAGATACCTTAAAATCCTCTTAACTGCAGTCCAGTGAGTTGTTCTAGGTGCATGTAAATACTGACATACCTTATTCACAGAGTAAGAAATATCAGGACGTGTAAGAGTCAGATATTGTAAAGCACCCACAACACTTCTATAATTTGTTGCATCTTCTGACCCAAGTGCTTCTCCACTCTCAATTGTAAGTTTTTCAGAAGTTGAAATTGGTGTACTCACAGGTTTGCAATTGTGCAGCCCTACTCTCTTGAGTATATCAGCAGTGTACTTTTCTTGTGTAAGAAGAATACCATCTTTGACTCGTTTGACCTCTATACCAAGAAAGTAGTGAAGATCACCCAAGTCCTTGAGAGCAAATTCTAACTTTAGATCTTTGAGCAAACAAGTGGTTGCATCTGAACTTGAGCTTGCAACAATTATATCATCAATATAAACAAGTACAAATATAGTGATCTTGTCTTTATAATAAAAGAACAATGAAGTGTCAGCTTTAGATGGTGTAAATCCAAGTTGTTGCAACTGCATACTCAACCTTGAATACCAAGCTCTTGGGGCTTGTTTCAGACCATACAAAGCTTTATCCAACTTACAAACATAATGTGGTGTGCTGTGATTTTCATATCCAGGCGGCTGCCGCATGAACACTTCTTCCTCAAGAACACCATGGAGAAACGCGTTCTGAACATCTAGCTGCCGTAAATTCCAGCCTCTGGAAATAGCAATAGACAAGACAAGTCGAATAGTAGCTGCCTTAACAACAGGACTAAAAGTATCTTCATAATCAATACCAAATCTCTGCTTAAAACCTTTGGCAACTAATCTAGCCTTGTACTTGTCTATGCTTCCATCAGATTTTCTTTTTATCTTATATACCCATTTGCAGTCTATAACATTGCTACCTTGCCTTGAAGGTACTAAGTGCCAAGTTCTATTTTTCATGAGTGCATCATATTCTTTATCCATAGCCTCCTTCCAATCTTTATGTGCTAGAGCATCATGCAAATTATTTGGTTCACCAACGGTACAAAGAAAAGCACGTTTGCCTCTGTCATACCGTATCGTACCATCAGTATACTCTTTATTTTTGACGATACCTGACTGTGACCGTGTGTGACGACGGGGAGCCAGAGATAGAGCTGTTGATGTAGGCGAACCATCCACAGAAGATCCCAGCGCCGAAGATCCCAGCGTTGGATCCAAGAAGGATTCTGCACCAGCTTCTGTGCCTGTCCCCCTGTCGCCAGCCGCATCCGCGTCAGCCTGCGAACAAGTGGCGGCCGGTGATAGGGGCGTGCTTGCCCGGGATGATAGGCGCCCCGCCGCGCCGTGCGGTGATAGGCGCTCCGCGCCGTGCGGTGATACACGCTCGCCTGCGTCCACGCCACACGATGATAAGCGCCCGTCCGCGCCCTGCGGTGAGAGGCGCGCGCCCGCGACTGGACTAGCGGGCTCCACCAGGTGGGGGCTGTCAGCCACGCGCGTGCATGCACCCGCGCCTGGGCTGGCGGCCTCGTCCGACCGCGCATCGGGACAGGCAGGGTCCACCTGGTCGGCCACATGCAGAGGAGAGCGATCCTCCTGGGATCGCGCGTCGCTGGCGCGAGGATCGGCTTCGGATCCAGCACCGCTGTCAGCAGGATCAGCATGGGATCCCGTGCGTGTCTCGTCCTGATCTGTGCACATAAAATGACGACCAAAATCTACAGAATCATAATTTTCATTGGAATTTTTCACAAGGTCAGCATTAATTAATTCACCCCCGTGACCTGGAGGAAGAGCTATTTCAGCACGGAGGAGAGCTCCTGCATTTGGATGAAGCTTGGCAAAAGGAAAAAGATTTTCATCAAAAACAACGTCTCTAGAGATATAGATACGTCCAGAAGAACTTCGAGGCACTTATAGCCTTTGTGAAGATTACTATAGCCAATAAAAACACATTGAGTAGAACGAAACTCAAGTTTATGATGATTATAAGGACGAAGATTGGGGTAGTATGCACACCCAAAAGTTTTGAGAGAATGATAATCTGGTTTTTGATTATAGAGACGTTCCAAAGGGGTAGAATTGGCAATGACTTTGCTAGGCAACCGATTAATAAGATATGTGGCAGTGATGAAAGCTTCATCCCAATATTTGAGAGGCATAGAAGCGTGAGCAAGTAAAGATAGACCAACTTCGACAATATGACGATGTTTTCTTTCTGCAGAGCCATTCTGTTGATGGGCATGAGGACAAGACACATGGTGTGCAATGCCAATACTACGAAAGAAGGAGTTAAGCTTCTCATACTCCCCTCCCCAGTCACTTTGGACTGTCAAAATGTCTTTCAACAAGTTTTTGAAACTCTTGGAATACGGAAAAAACTTCAGATTTATACTTGAGTAAGTAAATCCAAGTAAACTTGCTATAATCATCAATGAAACTGACATAATATTTCTTTCGTCCAAAAGAATCACGGGCATGGCCCCATACATCACTGAAAATAATCTCTAAAAGAGCATGAGAAACACTACTTGATCTAGGATAGGGGAGTTGGTGACTCTTGGCACATTGACAAGCTTCACAAACTGAATCACTAAGAGGACTATGAGACAAAGAAAGATTGCCTTTATTGATAACTTGCTTAACTATGACCGAGGAAGGATGTCCTAATCGTTGATGCCACCTTGCCAAAGAGGGCTTGATGACGGAGTAGACCTGACGATGCCTGCGACTAAGTGCTCCGGGTGTGATGGGGTAGAGACCTCCAATGCATCTACCGTGGTGTAGAAGTTCCCTCGTTGCCCGATCCTTTATAAAAAAGTAACGAAGGTGAGTTTCAAAGAAGACATTATTATCAGTGGCTAAACGAGACATGGAAGCAAGATTTTTTGTCGGCTTGAGGCACATGAAGAACATCTTTCAGAACGAGGTCACGTTTAAGCATAGGTGAATTAATAAAAGCTTGACCAATGTGTTGGATATCCATACCTCCACCGCTTGCGGTGTGAATCTGATCATTGCCGTGATACTTCTCACGAAGAGCGAGCTGCTCTAGCTCACTTGTGACATGATCCGTGGCGCCGGAGTCAACATACCACACGCCATCTCCTCCTTGTTCACGCATGGCTGCAGCAACATGTTTGGTATCGGGAACGTAGTCCTCATCATAGCGGTGCCAGCAGTCCATAACCTCATGGCCGGCCTTCTTGCAGAGTTGACAGCGAGGGCGACCACGAGAGGACGTGGAGGGGCGGCGGCTAGTGTTGTTGTTGAAGCCACCACCCCCTGATCTGTTGCCGGAGTTGTTGTAGTTGCCGCCGCCTCCGGCGTTGTTGTAGTGGTTGTTGTAGCCGCTGTCCTGGGAGTTGCCGCGCCCGCACCCACCGCCGCGTTGCGCGTGGTGACCGCGCCCACGGCCGCGGCCACGCGAGACGGCGTTGACGGAGGATTGACGGAAGCTGGCGCCATGGAGGAGGCTGAGGCGGGCGTCGAAGCTTAGGAGCTGGTTGTATAGCTCCTGGACAGTGATCGGCTCCACCCGAGCTGCAAGGGCCGAGACTACTGGATTGTAGTCCATGTCCAGCCCGGCCAA